GAACTACTTCTTCCAGCTTCTAAGATGACCAATTAAATACAATCTCTATATCAGGTTTTGAATAACAAGTTTCTTAATAAACACAATGATGGATTTAATATCAAAATAAAATTTATTCAATAAAGTTACAATGTTTGGTTAATATAGTCAATAATATCAAAGTATTAATGCTTATCCCTCTAAATTGTCTCAAAATATACACACACACACACACTTCAAGGAAAAATTATTTTAAAAATGGATTTATTTTTAGGGATTGGCTTTCTGAAAAGGTAAACAGTGCCCAGTGTATTATTCTTGAAGGCAAAAGGATAAAATGTAGGATGTGCTGGAGTCTGTTAGATTAATGTTATGATACGTGTGGACAAATTACTAATCTTGCACTGAATTATCTTGCAGGCGTAGATTGTTCAAGAAATACATTCATAATGTTCCTTCAATCAGTCTTTCAAATGAATAACAGATTAAATGGGAGAAATCAGCTGGGTAACTTGTTGAACTCAGCTGGTTCTTTAGCAGCCTTTACTCCAATTAAACCAGATAAATAAGAACATCTCCAAGCCATTCACCGTTCAAAACAGCCCAGCAGGATCTGCAGCAAAGCCAACAGTTATCACCAGTGATTGGATTTCTTATTTTTAAACAAAAGGCCTCCAATGCCCACCTTTAAGTTTCAATGACCAGCTGTGGTGTTTTGTTCATGTGGCTTACTCCTCCTGTTCCCTTTTTATACATGTCTATAAATGTGCTGTAATTTGTATTACAATTCAACTAATGGTGTGATTTTTTTTTAACTCATCCAATAACTGAACATGTTACTGCCCAGTTAAAATATTTTGAAGTTGGAACTAAGTTTCTTGGAAGTAGCTCATTTCTGATTTTCTACAGCAAATAGTACATAACATATCAGCAAGACTGTAGAATTATGAATGTGCTCCTCAAATTTAGCATGACAGTTATGCCTTGAAATAATCAAAGAAGTAGAAAACATAACCCAAATAAATTAAATGCCAGCATTAATTTGTTGCTGTTGCCAGTTGCAATTCCACTGCCAACATGTTTGATTGCATATTTGGGAGATGAAGATGAGTGACTTCACCAATCATCCAAAGAGCAAAGATCATATTTCCTCAACCTTGTCATCATAACAACCACCTTCCCTGTCTCATTTGTGTTTTTTTTAATTTTGTATATGTTGATGTTGGACCAACACCTTTAATTTTTTTTTTAGCAATTTTCTTGTAGATGTATTTTGAGGTTATCCCAGTCATGTCATGTCAGGCAAAAGGAAACCATTTGTGGCTGCCAACAATATTTTGGTCAGAGTGCTTCAACTGATATAGAAGCAATCCACTGATCTGCTAATCCCTTACTCCTGCACCCTGGCTTTCACCAACTCACCATGACATTCACAGCTATTCATAGTATCTGTGTTTCTGTATTTTTTCACAAGTACAAAACCACAATTCCGAACACATAAATGTGCTTCGCGCTTGCACAAACTGTAATAACACAGAAAGGAGCATAGTTCTGTGATAATGAAATTCATTGTGATGTTGAGCTCGCATTTTTAATATGAATTTGAGGTAGCACAATACTGTGTGTTGCGTGTGCTGCCATCCGTATTTTCTAAATGTGTAGGTTCTTTAGGGGCTTACTTGTTCTAATGTGTGTGAGGGTAGCCACCTTGCGGTCTGGTAAGAAAAGTCATATAGAGTGAACAAGATGTAGTTTATTGTATCTCTGCAATTATGTACAGTTATAAGAAAAGATTGTGCATTGCTGTAAAGACTATTGGGAGGATCTAGCCTTACTTCTGTCTCCCGCAAGATCCTACATTGATTTCCCACTAAGTCCTCATGACATGATCACAGTAGATGATGCTTATTGTACTCAATTAAGTATTAACCTATTCTGACCCTCTCAAACCCATATGGTACATTTTCCCCCAATGTTTTTTTCTGAAATTATTGTTATACATTTGTTTATAAACTTACATTTCACTCTTCTCCCTGAATGTTTTTCCTTCAGACTTGGAAGAAAGATTGTTTTGTTGGGTAGGAGGTAGTTTGCTGGGTAAAAGGTGATTTGTTGGTTAGAAGGTAGTTGTGTTAAACTCCCTCCCTGGCATTTTGAAGTTCTCTCTTTAACTGGAAGACCTTTCATCTTTTGCATTTCTTTCAAGGAAGTCATCACTCCTACCTGAGCAGACTTCTTTTTTATTCGTAGAATCTTGACTTTTTAGACATTGCTTGTCTCTTCTTAGTGGTGTCCATTTCCATCAAACCAGTGTAGTCACAGTTTTCTATCTCAATAATATGAAATACTAACAGTAGATATCCCCACGGATATTGCATCTTGTTGAGGAACCACCATGAGTTTGCAGAGAACTATAAGATCTTCTACCAGCTGTTCATTGACCGTTTGTTCTTTAACCTGCTGAATAAGATCGAAGTCTGTTCACCACAGGCCTTTCTACTTGGGACTGAGTGTTCCTGGTGTGAAGTGCATATGGGTTTTTTTCCCTACTATTTGATGCCCTTTATGTTGGGGAATTGCTTTGAGCATGTTTATTAATGTTAATTGAAATTCCCTATGCACCATATTGTTGAGGTTATGCTGGGTAAACAATATTTTGTCAACAAATGTGCATCCTATAATACTGTGATAGTTGCATGTGAGTCTAACTTGAATTTTCCGATATGCAGTTTGATGTATATGTCAGTAGGCCCAAATGTTTGGTCTGGGTCACTGATGTCCCCCAGAAAACATTTTGTGTTTATCTTCTGCTCAAACCGTTCAACTTCCTATCTCCACATGGGTGTTTCTTTGGTCTTTTGCCCATATATGTACTGTCCATAAAGCAGGACAAAACTGATCACAGCAATTAGCATCTCATCAGTCAACTCCCAATTCACCCTAAAGTGATGAAAGGTGTGGTCATCAGTGATGTCAGGCAGCTCTTATGCAGCAACAAGCTGCTCAGTATGAGTTTTGCCTTGACTTCTGCCTCATTAGAGCTTTGGTCCAAAAATTGATGCAAGAGTTGATTCTCGAGGTGAGGTGAGAGTGGGTGCTCTTGACATCATTGCAGAGCCTGACTTAAGTATGGCATCATGGGAACATTAGCAGTGGAAATCAGAGGAAATGTCTCCAAAGGATAGAGTCTTTCCCAAGACTAACCGAGATGCTTGTGTTTGTTGGAGGCCAATTATTTTAGTCTCAGGACGTTGCTGCAACAAGGGTAGTGTGCTGGACCCAAACATCCTCTGCTGCTTCATCAATATCTTCCCTCTACCATATGGTCAGAAATCAGTGTGCAATGATCACTTGCATAAGAGTCAGAATGATTTTCAACACTAAGATACTGAAGTAGTTCATGTCCACATGCAGCAAGACATGGACAACATCCAGGCTTGGCTTGATAAGTGGTATGTTGAGTTATATAAGTACCAGTAATAGTTATCTCCAATAAGAGAGAATCTAACCTTTCTCCTTAATATTCAGTGGCATTATCATCACTGAATCCCTGTCGACCTAGGGGATTATTGTCTAGAAACTGAACTGGACTAGCCATTTAAATACTGTGGCTCCAAGGTCTAGGAATTCTTAGGTAATTCACCTCCTCGCTCCCCGAAGTCTGTCCGCCATTCACAAAGCATAAGTCAGGAATGTGATGGAATACTCTGCACGTGCCTGGATGTTGAAACTCTCAAGAAACTCAACACCATTCAGATCAAAGCAGTCTGCTTGATTGGCATCCCATCCATCCTTTTAAATATTCATTTCCTTCAGTACTGATATGGAACAACACCCTACAAAATGCACTTCGCAATTCAATACGCCTTCAACTGCACCTTCCAACACTGTGCCCTGCATCACCTAGAAGAACACTGGCAAAAGATACATGGGAGCACCACCACCTTCAAGTTCCCCTCCAAGCCCTAAACCATCTGAACTTGGAATTATATTACTGTTCCTTCATAGTTGCTAAGTCAAATTCCCAGAGCTCCCTTCCTAAGATGACTAAACATGTTCCACTATCAGATGGACTGCAGTATTTCAAGAAGACAATTCAGCACCAGCTTCTCAATGACAATTTGTGATGGGTAACATCTTATCAATGACAGTCACATCCCATGAAAGAACAAAAAATAATTTTACTATTTCCGGCCTGGTAGCCTGTTAAGATGTGACTATTGCTTAGGTAGATTGATGCCTATTCACAGCACTAGCATTTTATTCAGATAAAATAATTGGAGATATTTCACAATGATCCAAATTCTGTGACAGTATGTATTCCGATACCATTGTATAATTAGCCTTTACACATTTTATACTTTCTCACTTTCTTGCTTGTTAAACTGAATTTACTGCCAAACACAATAAGAGTGAAACTAGATTTGACAACAATGGTAAGATAATATCAATAACTTTATATTTATTTGTAAATGCTTGCATAATTAGATGCTGAAATCATTGTTACTTGCTGAAACACATTCAAGATGTAGAAAGTGCTTGAAGCAGGACCTACAGCCTAACAGACTTAATAAAATACCATGCCTTGTTTTAAATTTATATTATACATTTTGTGATTGGTATAAGGGGAATGCATTAATATGTGCTTGCAGTACTTTTGTACCAGGTACAAAGCGACTTTTATCATTAGCAGAATAAATACCTAGAGCAAAACAGTGAAATTAATAGGATGATCATGGGATTTGGTAATAGGTTTTGAATGTAGTGTATTATATATGATCTATAAGTTTAAATGATCATTGCACAGCTTGATATAAAAGAAATGTAATAACATAATAAACAGTCTAAACTAATAGCTGAGATAAAAAGAATTAAACTGTGATGCGCTTGCCAGGAAAAGTTATTTGGTTTTACAAGCCTGAAAAGCTTGCAAATGTTATCAATGAACACTTTCTGAACCCAGAAAACAAGCATTAATGATGGCAAAGAAGAACTTATTTTCTTTAAACCTTCTTTTATAGCTGACCTGAACAGAATGAATAATGATGTTAAACGCTACAGCTGTACTCCACGAAACTACTCCGTTAACCTTCGAGAAGAGCTTAAGCAGACGAATGCAGTCTTCTTCCCTCGGTGCCTCCTTGTTCAACGTTGCGGGGGAAACTGTGCCTGTGGTACTGAACACTGGCGATCCTGCAACTGCATGCCAGCCAAAAGCATTATGAAATATCATGAGGTATTTGTAATGAAATTATCCTTAACTGCCACTATGATATAATATGATGGTACCAGGAATCCTCAGATGTAAATCCGCTCCAGTTGCTTTTGGTTGGAAATATAATATTCTGGTTCAAATAAATAAACTAAAAGCAAAATGCTAAAAATACTCAGCAGGTTAGTGGCATCTGCGGAAGGAGAACCGGGAGTAATAGCTAATGAGGTACTGGTGACCCAGTCCACGTGCCTGATTGTTAGGGGCAATGCCACTTTGGCTGTTGTTGGGAGGCCCAATCAGATTTTACCCTGACCAAGTACTTGCTGTCTGGCAACCTGAGGGACTCATCCCTTTGAAGGGAGGAGATTCGGCCTCCAAGTCCTGCTGGCCAATTGCAGTGCCGGTAAATTGTCAGCACTGAGCCAGCCACTGGGAGCGATGGCCACCGGTTGGGAATGCTCCATCATGGATGCTGCTCAGGAACCAAGTGAAGTGGGCACAAGGTTACCGAGGCCAACTGGGCAGGCCCCAGGGAGGGGAAGGGTTTGTGAGAGCGAGGCTATGTGGTCGACGAGGGCAGGCCTTGCTGCGAGAGCGTCCCTCTGTGCACCAGTAAAAACAATGTGGATGATGGCACAAGTGAAAAGGAGAGGTTAAATTAAAAAAAAACAGATGATGCGACTGATGGTAATGTAAGTGGGAAATAGGAGAATCATCACCGATAGCTGCGGTGCAAGAAGTGAGCACAAAGGTTATGAGCTTAAATTGTTCACGAGACTGTTATTTTGCAAACGGTGATCATTGAACCCAATGTCTGCACCAGTTTCCAAAGCATTTTGGTTTTGTATCAATCTCTCGCCTTTTCAACATAACGCTGCACGTTGTTTTTGTTTAAATAATAATTTAATGTCTTTTTGAATGTGTCAATTGAACCTGCCCGTACCTCACTTCCTGGCAATGCATTCCAAAACGCAACTACTCTCTGGGGAAATGATTTTCTCTAACCTCTCGTTTGCATCTCTTGCAAAACACTTCAAAAATATGTCCTCTGGTTGTTGATCTGTTTACTTGTGGGCGCAGTTTCTCGCTATCCAGTCTGTCTGGAGCCCTCATGATTTCGAAAACGTCAGTCAAGTCTCCTCTTATTTTTCTCCTCTTCAAGGTAAACAGTCCCAACCTCTCCAGTCTATCCTCGTAACCAAAGTTTCTCATCCCTGGAATCATTTTCATAAACCTCCACTGTGCTCTCTAAGACATCCTTCCTAAAGTGTGGCACTCAGTCCTCAAGTTGAGGAAGTATACTGCAGGCCCCCAAACAGTCAAGCAGTGATAGAATGTCAAATCTGGAATCAGATTTCACAGAAATGTAAGAATAATAAGGCAATAATAAATGGGGATTTCAACTACCTAAATATTAATTGAGATAATTTTAGTGTCCAAGATAGGGAGGGTGCAAAATTGTTAAATTGCATTCAGGAGAACTTTTCTTTTGCCATTGTGTAGAAAATCCTCACATCCCCTCTAAACCTCCTGCCCTTAGCCTTAAAATGATGTCCTCTTGTTATGGGCCGTTTAGCTAAGAGAAACAGCTGCCTCCTATTGGACCGCTTTGCAGAACACCTACGCTCGGTTCACAATAAACAACTGCACCTCCCAGTCGCGAACCATTTCAACTCCCCCTCCCATTCCTCAGACGACATGTCCATCCTGGGCCTCCTGCAGTGCCACAACGATGCCACCCGAAGGTTGCAGGAACAGCAACTCATATTCCGCTTGGGAACCCTGCAGCCCAATGGTATCAATGTGGATTTCACAAGTTTCAAAATCTCCCCTCCCCCTACCGCATCCCAAAACCAGTCCAGCTCGTCCCTGCCTCCCTAACCTGTTCTTCCTCCCACCTATCCCCTCCTCCTACCTCAAGCCGCACCTCCATCTCCTACCGACCAACCTCATCCCGCCCCCTTGACCTGTCCGTCCTCCCTGGACTGACCTATCCCCTTCCTAACTCCCTACCTACACTCACCTTTACTGGCTCCATCCCCGCCTCTTTGACCTGTTTGTTTCCTCTCCACCTATCCTCTCCTCTATCCCTCTTCTATCCGCCTCCCACTCTCTCCCTATTTATTTCAAAACCCCCTTCCCCTCCCCCTTTTCTGATGAAGGGTCTAGGCCCGAAACGTCAGCCTCTCTGCTCCTATGATGCTGCTTGGCCTGCTGTGTTCATCCAGCCCTGCACCTTGTTGTCTCGGATTCTCCAGCATCTGCAGTTCCTACTATCTCTGCCTCCTATTCACCTTGTCTGTGCCCCTCATAATCCTATACACCTCAATCAGGTCCCTCTCTCAGCATTCTCTGATCTAAAGAAACTGACACAAGCTGTTCCAGCCTCTCTTCATAGCTGGAATAGTCACCACATTGTTGGAAGGATGTGTTTGCTCTAGAGAAGGCACAGATGAGATTTATCAGGATGTTGATGTGCTGGAGGGCCTGAGGTAAGATTGAACAGACTAGGGTTGTTTCCCTTAGAGCAGTGAAAGTTGAGGGGGTCCAGGTAGAAGTGTATACGATTATAAGGGGCATAGACAAGGTAAATGGGAAGGCACTTCTCCTGTTAATGGAGGGCTCAATAACCAGGAGCATAAACTTAAGCAAGAGATTGAAGGCTAAGGCATAGACTCCCTACAGTGCAGAAAGAGGCCATTCAACCAATCAAGTCTGCCCCCATCCACTGACACCCTATCCCTGTACCCTTGCATTTACCATGGCTAACCCAGCTAGCCTGCACATCCGTTGACACTACAGGGCAATTTAGCACGGTCAATCCACCTAACCTGCACATCTTTGGACTGAGGGAGGAAACCCATGCAGACGTGGGACGAATGTGCAAACTCTACATAGTCACCCAAGGGTGGGATCAAACCTGGGTCCCTGATGTGGTGAGGCAGCAACGCTGACCCCTGTGCCACCATGCCACCCATAATGTTGGTGAGAAATACTTTCACTCAGTGGGGTAGGAGTCTAGAACTCACTTCCTGAAAGAGTGGTTGAGTCAGAAACATAACATGTAAGCACTATTTAAATATTCACTTGCATTTCCATCACCTCCAGGGCTATAGACCAAGAGACTGAAAATTAGACTAGTGTCATCAGATCGTTGTCGACTGAAATGGTCACAGTGGGGTGAATGGCCTCTCTGTGCTGGAAACATCTGTGTCTATATTCATCTAGTTCTCTCTGCTCCTGCACATCCTTTTGAATAATACCATTTATTTTATGGTGTCTCCATGTTCTTTGTACCAAACTGCATCACCTCACATTTCTCTGCATATCTTACATTCAACCAACTTGTCAATGTCCTTCTGAAGTTCTACAGTGTTCACTTCACATTTTACAATTCTCCCAAGTTCTGAGTCATCTGCAAATTTTGAAATTGTCCCCTGCCCATTGATCATTTAGGACTCTGTGTATATACCTATCAGGAAAAGTCAGGATCCCAATACAGATCACTGAAAACTCCATTATAAGCCATCCACCAGTCTTATCTGTTTCCTATCCCTGTTGGACACAGCATTGAGTCCGGAAGGCTGCAAAGTGCTATTACATAAACAAACAAAAACAGAAATTGCTGGAGAACTCAGCAGGTCTGGCAGCGTCTGTGGAGAGAAAACAGAGCTAATGTTTTGAATCCTGAAGAAGGGTCACTGGTCTCAAAATATTAACTGTATTCTCTCTTCGCAGATGCTGCCAGACCTGCTGAGTTTCTCCAGAATTTTCTGTTTTTGTTTCAAATTTCTACCCGTCGCAGGTACTCAATTAATGTGAATATTAGTGGGCCCAACATGGAACCTTGTGTACTCCATTAATCACCAGCTTCCAAACTGAAAAAGACCCCTTTATCCACACTGTCTGCCTTCTGTCGGTCAATCCTCTATCCATTCCATCTTGCCCCTAACACCATGGGCTCTTACCTTATTTGGCAGCCTCCAGTGCAACACCATGTCAAAGGCCTTCTAGAAATCCAAATAGATCACGTCCACTGGCTCTCCTTTGTCTAACTTGCTCATTACCCCCTCAAAGAATTCTGACAGATTTGTCAGGCATCCCTTAACCCCTTAGCAAAGCCATGCTGACTCAGCCCTATTTTACCATGCACTTCCAAGTACTTAAATCTCATGCTTATTAATGGACTCTAAAATCTTACCAATGACTAACCGGCCGATAGTTTCCAAATCTTCTGCCTTCCTCCCTTCTTAAACAGGAGTGATACATTAGCCATTTTCCACCCCTCTGGGACCCTCCCTAACTTCAGCGATTCCTGAAAGATCACCACCAATGCCTTTACGATGTCGTCAGCTATCTCCTTCAAAACTCAAGTGTAATCCATCCAGTCTGGGTGATTTCTCAGCGTGCATAAAAATCTAGAAAACTGAGAAAAATTGAACCAACCCATCTTTAATTGAAGATCTTGTCATATTCCTTCTACACTAAACCATATATGAGATGGCTGCACCAATCTAATGATGTCTTCATGCTAAAGTATCAATCTTTTCTCAGAAATGTCCAGTCTGCAAATTTGATTACCCAAACATGCAGATTGGTTATATTTGTACCTGTGCTTCAGACTTTGAATAAACATCCTTCTCGAGCATCAATAAGCACTAAATGGCATTCCAAAGAACACTGCCCTCTATCACTTTAAGTTATAAATAATATCTCTGTATAATTGGTTATTATAAGAAATTAGACACTCCTTATGTTCAATATTACCAAATTGCATGATATTTTAGAACAGGAGCTTTAACAAATTTGTGATACAAAATAATAAACTAAAACAATTATTTTCAAACAGATCAAGCTTATTTTCATGAAGTTTTTATAATAGACATTTTATGCATTTATTTAATACAAATATGTTAAATGAAATAGTATTAAAGATCCGGAATAAGAATTTATACTAATTTTCCTCAATTAAGTCAAGATTCCTTATTTGTAAGTCGATCCATGCACCAAAGCAACTTGCA